CCTGCTGAAAATAAATCAAATTTCAGGCCTAGGAAAGCTTCTTTATATACAGACACACAGTCACCACAGGGTTTCCTGCATTTGTCACTAACTACAGACCTCATCACCCATATGAGACTGGAACTCGAATTTCACCGGTGGACAAAAGGCAGTGGGGTACATTTCCATGAATCTCTGCTTGTCACTTCGTGGCTCCAAGCTGTCAACTGCATTTTCAATGATGTCCAGGCCCTCGTGCCTGGAGGTCTCAAGGTTATACTCCGCAGAGAGGTACGTTCTCAGCGCTCTGTTCAGACTCGCGTGGTATCCAAGATCACAACACTAATAACACAGCAGAGAAAGAAAAAAATAAACTAAAAGGCAGGAACTCCATACTAATACCTCAAACCACAAGTTATCATTATAATTTTCTGTCCACACTTTTTAAATCTTCAAAATATTTTACAAAATACTTGTAAATAAAAATGCAATATTGGCATCAAGATGTAAGTGTCTTAGTATCCTCATTCTATTGACAGAAAAAGAGAAGTGAAGATCCAGGGATGAGCTCAGAAGACAGATCAGATACACAAGTATGGAAATGCAGGTACATTTGCATGTAAGGTACCACATTTACATGAGAAGGTCTGGGGCTCTGCAGAGAAGTGGCATTTTCAGTACTGTTGGCATAGATAAGCCTTGGATCATGTATTAAACCCTGTCTGAGAGACCACTACCATCTAAGTCAATGGTAGCACCAAACTGAAACCGTTCCTGCCTGTGCCTAAACAAAAAACCAAAACCAAAAGGCCTCACTAGTCTCTCTTGTTAGTGACCCATATAGGAAGCTTTTTGCTTTAGTGAGAATGGCTTAACATCCTTCCCCTGATAGTACAATGTATTTGCTGTAAACACTTTATTCCCCTTGCTCTGACAGAGCCAGCAATGTACATCATGTTACTAAATGCAGGAAGTCATAATTTATGATTTCTTTCTAGGGGTGAGCATAACACTGAAATGTATGAGAAATCTAATTGACATCTAATTGGTAAAATGTAAAGTTGTGCGTGTTCTTGAATTTTAAACACCCCTTGGTTTGCATTATTCATAAGCTGTTAATATTTTAGAGGAACAGCTGTATATATTCTCAAAATGTCACAGCAGGAGTGTACCCAGTGATTGTTTTCTTAATTTCGCCCCACATCGTGCAGGGAACAGCATCCTCGGGGGCTGCTTGGGGAGCTTCTTCCCTCCCCACCAAGGCAGGACGACCACAGGCCCCTCTCACCCAGCACCCGCCTGCTGCTCTGCTCGCAGTTGCACACAAAACATTTCTTTTTCAACGGTGCTTTGAGGCTTGACCCAACCTGGCTCACAGCGACCCAACACCTATGGGGAGAAGAGCTCCTACGTTCTCCCTCTAAGTTTCTCCTAAGTATCTCCTTCTAACCCTCTCTCTTCTAAGCTTCAATGGGGAGAGAAACAACCTACTTGCATCTTGCCTTACGTTTAACACATTAAACACCAGTGATCAAGCTGCCCTTTTTAGTCTGACGACGGAGGGCTGTTCTAACCACAACACTGACAACAAAACTATGTTCATCAGCAGTGGCTTTCAGCCTTGGAGGGTACTGCAGGTCAGTGCTGCTGATGGGAATGTCCACCCAAATACAGCTCTTGAACCGGTTAAAATCTACCAGAGAAGAAAAAAGGGGAAAAAATAGATGTCATGTTCTATCAAATGCACACAGCTTAACCTCTCTCTTTTGCATTTATACAATGGAAATTTGTTTTACACTTACTAAAACGATCACTCAACCTCTATACTTAAGCACATCCATATTTCAAAGCTCTCCAGCCTAAAAAAAATAAAATTGTTTGCACATGTTTCTACAAGAAAAACTCTCTCGGTGTTTTCCTCTTGTTCCATGTCAAGTCAGATCTCACATTTAATTCACTATCTTGGATGAAAAAGACAGACTAAAAGTGATGATAAGAAAGTGCATCAGGACAGCTGTTTCACTTCATGTGCATTAGCTTTGGAAAGACCTCACAGAAGATTAAACAGAGAGGAAATAAGAAACAGAGGGCCACACTTGGTTTGGAGCGGCCAAGTATCCGTGTGTTAAAAACTCCGGGCATCTAGAGCCTGAATTTTGGACCAGAGAACAAACAGAAGCCGATTGATTTCAGTGATGGATACACGGGTTCTCATGCAGCTTTTTGGCAGGTGGAAATAAGGGGTTGCTGCCTTTCTGCTGTGACTCTGTCAAGAACTTCACTGCTTAACCCTTAATCCACGCTGTGGCTGTCACCTGCCCGTGACTGAAAGGCATGGGCATCATTTGTAGGCAATGACGGCAGTGCAGGGTGACACTGCTTCTCAGCCAGGCACGAGGACTCTCCAGAGAAAGCAGAATATCTTGCCAGAATAAGGCATTTCTTAGTAATCTTAAAGCCTGTAAAGGAAACAGGAACTAAACCCAGAGGCCTCAGCAAATGCCTTGACCACAATGGCTCTTTGAAGGGAATTTAAAATGCTTGAATTTGGATTTTTGCTTCAAGATTATATGTAGAAATAAAATCTGTTTTAATAGCAAAAGATAAGAACTCCTAACCATATTATAACTCTTGCTTCTGCAGGAATATAATTCTCTTTCTCCAAAATTTGCAGGCCTGCAAATTTTTAACCTGAGAATGGGTCTGTTACCACCTCATGGCTACTCAGCGAGGAGGAGGGCCCTGTTTAATCTGTGATAGGCAAGTAGGAGATGGTAGGAAAATGGAGACAGCACTTGGGGCGTTTATCCATTTTAGGACCGAAATCAGAATTCAGGGCCCCTAAATTGCTGTCCCCACAACATGCAGTCTGACCGGGCGGGGAACACAGGAAAAACAGCTCCAGAGCGCCAGGTTCACAAGAAGCACCCACGCACACGCGCGCACACCTGCATGATTTCCAGGGAAACTTTGTACATCCAGAAGATTTGTAAGGTGCAAATGAGAAACCAAACTTCTAGCCAAAACAAATATGAATCTGTGAGGTTCATTCATCAGCACATTCTGGCTACAGCTTGGATGCCTAATGAAATCTGCTGTCTATCCACGGGCTGGGAGATGAGATGTCAGGTGGCGCAGTAAGACTCGCAAGATGAAAAATGAGAGAATGAAGTCATGGCCTATGTGTTTTATTGCATTTCAAGCTTCATAAAGACTTTTGGTTGGGCAAAGTAGAGGGAGATGAGTGATGCATTTGGGATATGTGTGAAAAATTAATTTTGTAATTTGCATTTTATTCTTATTTGGAATTAAATCTGAAGCAGTCTCAAGAGCATTTACTGTCTTTATTGCACCCCAGAGTCTATTTAGGCTTGAAAAAAAAAAAAAAGAAAACCTGCAGTGCTTAGCACAGAGCTTCAACCAAACAACCAAGCTGCTCATTTCATCTCATGAATAATAATAAAATTGTAATGCCAGCAGAAAGAGAAATTCATAAAAAAAAGTGCTAACCTCTAATAAGTCACTTTCTAATCATCCCTGTTACACTGACATCAACATTTAAATCAAAGGGACCTGGCTGTATATACCATATTTATGAGAACTTACGTAATAAAGATTGTGAGCTGCATACACTTTAGCTGGGTTTTAAGCTTGATTCTATGAAAGATTAACAAAGCACCTTAGAGAATAACTTAAGCTCACAACAGCTAGATGTTCTCCAGCTTCTCACCACACAAAGCATTACTGCAGCCTGCAAAATTTAGAGGGTCAGAAATACCACTCTAACAAAGATCAACACATAAATATTGTATTCATTCAGCAGCAGAACTACTGTCAAATTTCTTTTGATCACAACTTCTGAGCATTTACCTTCAGATCATGAATACATGGTAAGTCTGAAAAAGGGTCTCTGCCTTCCTCTTGTGCCCAGATAAATCTAGTAATCTCAATTACACAGAAACCTTCAAATAACTGAATTATAATGTGCCCCATATGGTCAGATGTTGTTAATAACAAGCAGATTAGCAAGGCTGTGCACTCCACCACTCTTCTGAAAGCAATGATTTTCAAATAATTTTCTACATACTATATGAAGATTATTTAATTTAGTTAAAAACATTCTTCACTAATTTTTTGTTGATGCGAATAAAGAAAAAAATAATTCTGCCCTTCACTTGAACTGGAGCCTGCTATATATTCAACAGAGAATAAATATCCCATTTAACAGAAAATTCAAATTCCCCTGCTACAAATATGCAGAGGACAGAAATAGACTATACATCAAACCATGTTTATCCCACTACTTCTTGGCAAAGGTTGGTCCAAAACCTCAGCTCACCAAGCACATTAAAACATCCAGCTAAGACTGCAGGAATATTTTTTATTTTGCTTTTATCACAAGGGTTTAGATTATGACCAACACATCATCATTTTAAATCAAAAGCACTGAGCTTTGTTAATGAAATGAATGAATTGAACAGTTCAAATGAAGTTCAGCTTACGAACTGCAATTCAGGATTTTCCATAGTGGCCTGACAAATCCAGCTGCAGTGGGATCCAAATGAAAAAACTATAAACATCTGTTTGTTACAAAAATATCTCATGATCCTCTCCAATATTGTTGCAAACACAGGCAAGTACATTGCACAGCTTACTGCACTCCTCCCTACACATTCTGCATTCTCACCAGACATCTTTATCAATAAAACACGGGAACTATTCAGCTGAAAGTGTTAGAGACTGGAGCATCTCTGCAGTGAGGAGAGGCTGAGGGAGCTGGTCCTGTTTTGCCCAAGGAAGAGAAGGCTGAGAGGGAATGTTACCAATGTGTATGAATGCCTCAAGGGAGGGTGTCAAGAGGATGGGACCAGACTCTTTTCAGTGGCCAGAGATAGGACAAGAAAGAGTGGCCACAAACTGAAGCACAGGAAGTTCCACCTGAATTTGAGGAAGAACTTCTTTTCTGTGAGGGTGACAGAGCACTGGAACAGGCTGCCCAGAGAGGTTGTGGAGTCTCCTTCTCCGGAGATCTCCCAAACGTGCCTCGATGCCACCCTGTGCCACGTGCTCTAGGTGTCCCTGCTGGAGCAGGTGAGTTGGACTAGATGGTCTCTTAGAGGTCCCTTCCAACCTCAACCATTCTGTGATTCTGGGATAAGCAAAAAGAGAAAGATTAGGAAAGCACAGAAAGGAAGGCAGCTGGGGACAAAGCACAGAAGGTAAAGAAGGAAATCACCACCCCCACTCTGAGAACTCAAGACTGTACCATTCCATTAACAGATTCACAAAATGAATCTGGCGTGTTGCAACATATGGTCAGTGGGAAGCGTGTCTCACATTCCAATGATATAAGCCCCCAAATTTGCCAAGACTCTAGGATTTACAAAAACTGTTTCCTTTGTCAAGTAGTAAACACGCTGTCTAGATACCAGTGCTTTCACAGAATATTCTGATTAAATACAACTGCCTGAAAGACACTTCATTTAAACAATTCCACAATTGGATTAAGTTGGCTCTGAAGCAAATTCTGATTACACATGTTTACAGCCAGCTTGTACAAAAATGTGATTTCTAGATCTTCCATTTAAATTCCTCAGAGAAGAGTCATTTCTAAAGCCATTTTGCCAAAAGAATTTGTTATTGCCTATGTTAATCCACTGCTTGAAAAAAAGCACTCTAAGTAGTTATCCTTTTCTTGCACTACTGCATTTTGTAGAACTTACACTTCCAATAGAAAATAGCAGCTATAAATTCCTAGTCTTCGTGGCTGTGCAAATACCTTTTTTAAGCACTAATTCCACTGAGTTTTGTCTTGTATATACAGGCATGGAGAGCTTGGCTTCGGCTTCTCCTCACGGTTCTTTAAGAGGCTTCGGGGCCTTGGCTCCTCCTGCCAGCTCTCCCTGCTATGGCAAACTCCGTGGACGTTAGGGATGTCTAAAACAGCCTGAGACTGCTTTGACCAAGGAGAAACACAAACTGGAGACAACTCATCTCAGCAAAAATGTGAGTCACAAAACAGTAGACAGGAGAAAAGACCCAATCAACATCTTTCTGAAGGGGAGACCTCTGAAGGGGTGTTGTAGCTGGGAACAGAGGGAAAGAACAGCTTTCCCTTTCCCTTTTTTCCTTTCCTTTCCCACTAGAAATCATGATGAAGCCTTTATCAGACATGCCTCATCTAAAAGCTACAAAACCAACAGCCTTTAAGCAACATCCACAAAAATTAGCTGATAGGTAGGGACAACTTCTCACTTGCGTGTTACCTAGCAGCTATGGCCACTTGTCCTTAGGTTTCTGCCCTAATTATCTATCAGAAGCCTGGTAAATGTTGCCTGGGCAGGACAAATGGGTGGAGCAGGATGTGCAAATGTTTGGATGTAGATTGGACAGGGATTGTATATAGTAGAGTAAGCCAGGAGAAATCAGAAGAGACAAAGCAGTGACAGATACAGAGGAAAAGGGGATGCTGAGATAGGGACAGCAAGAAATACTGAAAACACAGAAAATCATATTGCTACCTCACATGAGAAAGAAACAAGAAAAAAGGGGAGAAAAAAATGTGGAGGGAAAAATTGCAAGGAAAAAGAAAAAAAAAACACAACAAAAGCAAGCAAAATTTTGTAAGTTATAAGAAAAAATGACCAAGAAGAACGATTCTCAGTATTTCAATAAAATACAATAAAACAGACTTATGCAGCTGTTTTAGTTCATTCCCCTCAATAAGTATTTTTCTTTTTTTATTTATTTATTAAGGTTTTCTTCTCCAGCCAAAAGAAGAGAGAGATTCTTGTCAAATGCTGCATTTATGCTACATAGCAAACCACAGCTTAGTTAGCTTGTCTTTGTGATGAACATCCCACCAGCGCAAAAGAAATGATTGTAAGGGAATGTTTACTGTTGTAAATAACAAATGCCACTGCCGCAGTAGAAAGCATTGCAATATCCAGCGTTTCATACTCAGGATGAACCCACTGCCTTATTTAACACTACATCACTATTCACTGAATATTATTGAACCAGTGTTTATTATCTCCATATTTTCTGTATCAAAAGAGGTCAGCCTAAAAAGAGAGCATGGGACATGGCTGACCGTGGGAGATTCTCTCCGTTCCATCAATAACAGAGATTCTGCAGACCAAATATTGCTGAAGTCAACATCACTGTATCACCTCAGTCTCCTAAGATATCTTCACAGTAATAACTTACTGAAAATCAGTAACAAGTTCTCTTCACAATATAGAATACTGGATCGATTCTATCTATTTTGCAAACTACATGCAACAGGAATAAAAAGCAGCGTATTTTTGAATGACTGACTGAATAAAAACAAATGATTTTGAAGACAAACAGTAAATGCCTTATTTTGAGTTAAATACCATGAATATATGCCGTTTTAAGAAGTTTATCTTGTAAAAAAATCCCCTTTTTTACTGTGGAAATCCTTTTAAAGTATACAATGGAAATGTCTACTTTTGGTGTTGCTACTGTCAGATTTTCTTTTGCCACTTCAAGAAGAAACATAATGTTCTAACTTTAAAGCAGTAGGCTCAGCATCCTATTGACACCTTGTTTTGTGAAATATAAAGCTTAAAAGAAAACGTCCTAGTTATATTATAGAACATTACAGATGATAAGCATACTGTAGGAACTCATATCGCTAGTGTTCCCTTTGAAAATGAAAAGCAAAATAAAAATGCATAATATTTTTGGACAGAACAAACATAAAAACAAATGTGTTACTTACATCAATTAAATCCGAAAGGTCATGAATATAATACTTGAAAACAGAAGCATTGGTTGCTTCAAGGGTGAGCAGGTATTCATTCCGGGCCTTAATAGATTTCAGCTTGTTTTCAGAATATTTTGCTTGACGCTAGGAAGGAGATTGTATATTAATGAATTTGAGCTACTTGATTTTTGATAGATACCAAAAACAGTAACAATTCAAGCACGTATTCCTATTATCAAGAAAGATCCTTAACGGTCAGCTTGTTATATATATAATAAATAGACTACAAAGAGGTAACTTAGTACTTTATTTCAAATCATATAATAAGAATTCTACTAGGAAGCAAGTATTCCCCTCTCTGAACTGAAAATAAATCAAGTTTTCTGTAACTCATGAAGATTATTATGTTTTCTTTTTTTTTTAATTTTATTTCCCATCTGGACTCCTCTATCTAATATCAGGCTAAAGAATTTCAGAAACATGTTGAATTTACTTCAAATGAAGCAAAACAAAAACACTGTTTACTTTTTCCTTCATTTTTTCAATCTTCTTTACAGAGCTCCGTCTCTGGTGCCTTTCTTCTAGTCGAATATGAAAGACAGGGTCTCCTGACCTCCCAATCTGTTTTTCTTCTTGCTTCTCTGCCTCCTTCAGCTTGCTTTCTGCACTGATGCTCTCTGCATGATACATGTGGTAAGTTTTCATGACCTGCAGAAGACAGAGTCAAAAGAGAGTTGAGGGAAAATGAGGATACAAGGGTACCTACACAAAAAAAACAGAGTCTTTGAGTAAAACAGTCTGATAAGCATAGATCTTATCTAAATTTCTTTGCCAACACAGACTGAAGACTTCTGGTTCCATTTTCTTTTCCAGTTTATTTAATTGTATCCCAACAGCTAACTGCAAGCCTATAGACTTTATCTACATGACTTTGTATGACTGCCTATGCATGATGCCAGAATTACCTAGTCTGTTTATAGACAAATGTTTACATATGTAACACTCGGAATGTTCAGAGTGCTTTACCAATCGTTATGAATAAAGAAAGATGATGGACAATGAGCAATAACGTAAGCATACAGGCTTGTATTCTGCGTCATTTCTTCTGAGAAGGTCCTTGTGTTGCAGAAATATTTTGGTGGGTGATTTAGTCACAAGATAGCAATTGTTTCAGTTGAAATCAGGAAATATCTTTGGGGATTTTTTTTTCATTGCCTGGATAGGAAAGAACAAATCCTTGTCATTAAACCTCAGGCTTTTGTCTCTGAATGAAAACTTGAAACATGAGCAACAATATTAAATCTAGGCAATGGCTTATCTCTCTGACTTCTTCCGTCTTAAGCAAACAGCTTGGCCGTGCCCCAGTTGAAAGCAACAGCCCTGCAGACCAGCACTGCGGGAGGGCTGATGAGTAACCTGCAAAGACGCTTCCCCCTTCCCATGCAGCGCCAAGTTACTGCCTTTATCTCCCCCTGCACACGCTGCCTCTGCAGCCAGGAGGGCTCAGCTGCAGCCACACGTCTGTGCGGACAACAGGAGAGAGGCTGGCGCAGCCGCGGCCTCCCCTTCTTGTCAAACAGGGCCAGGCTCAGCCCCAGCCTCCATGGTGTGGGATACAGCCACCAACGCGCCATGCCCGCTGGTGCCACAGAAACTCCCTTCCCGCCTTCCCCAGCGTTGGCCTTTTAAATCTTTTTGAGATCCAAACAAGAAACAAAGCAGGGAGGACTCTTCAAGTGGGCAGCCGGGCCCCCCTCTCCTCTTGACATGGTGCCAGAGGGCTCTCCCAGCAGATGCTCTCTTTGGACCTCGGCCACACGAACCACGAGCACCCCCTCCGAGGGCCATGGCCAGAAGGGAGGTCTATGGGCTGCCCTGCTGCAGCGGAGCTGTGGGCCACTGCTTCCAGAGACAGAGTTGCCTGGGGGGACGCGCTGAGCTATCCCCTGGGGAGCACCCACAGACAGGTGCCATCGAGGGGACACGGCAGCGGCATGGAGTAAATCAGTCTTGGTGGCGACAGCTGAGGCAAGGCCTACGAGGGGCCCACACGGACTGGCTACCTGCCATGGTGGATACCAGCTGACGAGAGGGATGTGCAAAGTGCTGTGCAGCTGAAAGGAAGAAGGTTTTAGAGAGCTACAATTCTGCATAACGCACCTGCGTATGTTGCTGTGTAACACGGATGGTCTTGATATTAAAAATAAAACAGGCAACTCTTCAATGACTTCCCAAGTTAAGATAACAAAGTTGGAGCTCCGCACCAGAAAGAGTGCTCTTACTTCTATTTTTGCCAACATTTATAGCTCTCTGCTGAAATTCCAAACTGGGGAGCAGGGACTAGCGTTGCTGTTATGCTTAGTTTATAGCCCAGTGCTCTGAGGCCCAGCCGAAGTGAAGACCTTTCTGTTCTAGGTCTGCTTACGCCCACAAGAAGCAGGCAGTGCCCTGAACAGCATCACAGTCTCAGCAGAAGAGGCCAAAATGAAGATTAAACAAGCTCACCTGGGACAGAGCGTGGGTCTGCAGACTGCAGATCTACACTGGTTTTGGTTTAACCAAATTGCATGTTCAGCTTCCTATATCCTGTACTATTTCCTTTACTACGAAAAGCATTTTTAGAGTTGTGCCCAGAGAATCCTACTTAGAGAATCCACATAGAAAGGATTATTTAGAAGAAATGGACTTTTTAAAGTATTGATTTACAAAACAAACCTGAAAAGGCACAACAGGTGATATAGCTCTATTAAAGTTGATGGGAAAAAGAAATTAATACCAAGAGCTGTGTCCTTCTCTTTTGTCTTCTTACTGATTTTTAAGTGCTTTTCTACAGGAGTCTGCAGTTGTTTTGCTCACCCCTCCTTTTTTAATTTTTATTTATTTCTATTCATTTTCTATTTATTTATTGTTCCAAATTCATCTCCAGAGTAAGAACTGAGACTCCTTAGCAGATGGGACAAGGCTAATCTGTCTGTCTTCCCAGCTAGGTACTTAACTCTGTTTTTCCGTAGCAGATGGGACAAGGCTAATCTGTCTTCCCAGCTAGATACTTAACTCTGTTTTTCCACCTGCAGGGAGTTTTTCTGCCTCCAGGCTGTATCCTGGATTTTCCCAACACACCTCAAAGCATCCAACAGCAGTGGGGAAGCAAGGATCTGCTCTGTGTGGCAAGGCAGTAGCCACAGAAGTTTTTGAAGCATTTTCTTCTGAGCATAATGGAGCCCAGCTGCCTTGGCACAAATCCCACTGAGGAAAGGAGCACGAGTGCCTCCCTACTGGCTCCCTCCCCGCTGCCAAACCCACATCACCAAAAAGTCTCTCTCTGCCTTGTGGTACATGCTACCAAATTCAGTGTCTCCCACTGACCCCCACAAACCCCAGTTTTGTGAGAGAATGACACGGGAAGGTTCTCTGTGAAGAACTGAGAAGTCTACCTAAAACTCCTCTTCCCAAAATGCTCGTGCTATAGATGACTCTTAAAGAAGACAAAAATTGAAAAAGATGCCCTTCTAGATGTACAACGAGGCTTGGTCAATAGGCAGAGCTTGTCCTGCTTGAGCCACGCTCAAGATAGTAGTTCAGAAATTAATGCACAGTGCAGTCATTAGTCTGTACATTTGACTCTTGTCCAGTTTGTCATGTTGATAGCACTTCTTATCTCATGCACTAGTGACATCATTATTTTGCAAGCCTTTGGGGAAAAAAGGCCACAGCTCCACTCTTTTTTCAAGATTTGTCAGTGTTTTTAAGAACTGATATAGCAGTAGACAGACACATGCAGAAAATAAACGAGAATAAGTATTCCAAGTATTGCAGTGCATGTTTTCTCAATAAATTAGCCTATAATTTACATTCTAAATTACATATATGACTCTTTATTCTTAATATTATGTCATCCTTTGTCCCAGGGGTTCTTAAAAGACTGTTAAATACTGCAAAAGGCAGTGACAAATCTTGCCTAATTCTCATAGACAGATTTGTAGGAATCATTCTGAGATTCACAGATTTTGGGTCTGTGAATATGTAAACAATCCACAGAACTATTATTCAAACTACAAATAACTGGATGAAAGGAGCAATACTCCTCTTCAAATTCCTGCCAAACTGTTGAATTGATGGACTATCCTGTGAGAGTATCCATCACTGTGCTGACTTTAATTAGTCCCCAAAGTGGTTATTGATCAACCATCAAGTATTCACTGCAAAGAGAGAGCAAGGTCGTAATTTTGCAGCTGGTGAACTGTCAACATGACGGATCTGCTGCACTTCTCTGTAGTGAACAGGCATCGTTCAATCCATACTACTCCCTCTTAAAATTAAACAATGACATTACCTCCTACTAATTTAGCACGTTTGCTACCAAAGCTCCAATGACATAAAATACATACTTCTGACAGACAACGAAACGAGGCTACAAGCAGTTGAAAAAGATCATGCTACCCCAATCCCATGCCCTCCCACTCCCAGGGGATGGGCTGTGCACAGAGACTCCTCACACGGAGCTGAAGACCCAGCATCATTTGCAACAGCTCCACAAGTAGGCGAAGGGCAGGACACCGCGCACACAGCACAGGGAAGGGCAGGCGAGAGGCAGCCCTCGGATAACTGTTGTATTTAAACCCACAATAGTTATCTGGGCAAATCCATCAAGCAGACAGCAATGAGTGATGCCCTTTTGTGGGGGAAGAGAGAGGCAGCGTTCCTGTAACGAGACTCTAGTTTTCGTTTTCAGAGCTCTAATGTGAACTTCTGTTTTAGAGAACTTCTCAACTCAAAACACTAAAATCTCACTTCAAAGTTAAAGTATATTGAAATTATCACATGCTGCCCACAGGAGCTTTATTTTTTTACTGAATAATTAATATTTTTTTCACAGTGTTTCTCAGGAAATAGACATTTAATGGAACAGCAGTTCATCTCTGCTGCAATTATTGTGTTTGAATTTTTTCAGAATTGTCTCAGAATTCTAAGTGGTGAGTTTTTACCAGAAACTGCAATTGCATGAGGTTCAATAAATCAGGTTAGTTGGTACTTTTCCCAAGAATTATGTAAAATCTTATGCCAATTTCACTGCCTCACTGGCTGCTAGCAGTTAAGTAGGCTCAGCACTATATATTTTCCTAAGTCTCTTCAGATCCAAACCAACCTCTGATGTGGTTCCAGGAATTGTCACTGATATATTATTACCAATACAGAATTACTGATCTCACCATCCTCAGATCTCTGGTGCTGCAGTAAATTAGGCTAAAGTCTTCTATAAAGTATCCAGATTCTGTGTTACTTCAGCAAAGAAAGAAGGAAATTTGGCAACAACTACTTTGCAAAATTAAACAGCCAAGATTTTTAATGACTAAGATAAGGCAATGGAAAATGCAAGTGGCACAGCTGCCCTAGTCTTATTTAATATCAAATTGTTTGCTTTGGACTGTTCCTACTTTTTCATTTTTTCAGCAAGCCTTAGATTTATATTGCTTGTGAAAAGTGTGATACCACGTACTGTAATTTGGAAAGCCAAATGGGAGACGTGAAAACATATTTTTATGACACTTGAAAAATTCCTGCTCCTTGATATTCACAATTTTTATTATTTTTTTTCTCATGGTCAATCTCTGCAAGAGGGAGCACCCGAGAGAACAGCTGCCCTAGTCTTATTTAATATCAAATTGTTTGCTTTGGACTGTTCCTACTTTTTCATTTTTTCAGCAAGC